TTAAGACTTGTGGGTGTCAACTCCCAGAATTCTCCAGCCAGCTATGAGTTGAAGTCCACAAGTCTTAAAGTTGCCAAATTTGGGGACTCCCAGGCTAAACATACCTAGTTCCCACAAGAAGACCTTTCTTTTTTGTTGCTCTTCTCTGCACTCTTTCTAGGGCCTCAGCATCTTTTTTGTATCAGTGACCAGAACTAGAGAAAATATTCCAAGTGTGGTGTTAAAGTGCAGTATAGAGTGATGCTATTCATATGTTCCTGATTCTATCCCTCTATGGTTGCAGCCCAAGTGCATTAGCTTTATTGGCAGCTGCAGCACTTTGCTGGTTTATAGTTAAGCAGTGGTCCCACCAGTACACCTAAATCCTTTTCACAGGTACTACTGTTGATCCAGATACCGCCTATTTTGAACATGTGCATTTGGTTTTTTTCCTGGCTTACTTTTCTCACTACTCAACTGCATCTTATTGGATAGGGCCCAATGCTGGTCTGTCAAGGGTCTCTTGAATGTTGAGTTTATCTTCCAAAATGTTAGCTATCCCCCCCCCCCCATTCATTTCCTGGCTTGGTGACATCTGCCAATTTATTTATTTATTTATGTCAATTGCTTACAATTGGTTATTTATTGTATTGTAAATTTGCTGAGCTCCCCTTCATCTGGGTCATTTATGAAGATGTTGAAGAGCACTGGGCCCAAGGAAAAAACCTTTAGGTACTCCACTGCATGTTTCCTTCCACATAGATGTAGTTCTTTTGAGGAGCACTTACAGAGTATAGTTGGTAAGCGAACTGAAAATCCATCTGATGGTGGTACTATCTCACATTTTACTATCTTACTAGAACTAGGTTTGGTCTATCAAATACCTTACTGAAGACTAATTGTAGTAGGTCCGCAGCATTTTCCTGATGCACTAATTTAGTCACTTTCAAAGAAGGCAAAGTTTATTTCGCATGACCTGTAGTAGCACCTGCTCTATAGAACAAGATTTTCTCCAGAGATTTTAACAACTTCCAATGTATTTGCGTTCTGAAGACCTCTGAAAACTTGGCTGTTCACCCTGATCTCCGGCAAGTGTGGCTGAATCCTGCTTTTCTTCTTTTTCTTTATTCCCATCTGATTTTTGTTATGTATGCCCTCTTTGTTCCCTTTTGCTTTGTGTGGTTTTCTTGTTTTAAATGTTTTTAACAATTTGTAAACTGCCCTGAATCAGTGGAACCCAGGCTGCATATACATTTAACTGATTGTTATTTTACTGTCGTTAATAATGGGACCAAACACAAACAGTAACTAAAAAGGCAAAGCTACTCAAATCCTACTTTGGTTCAATCTTCTCCAGCAAAATGATGTGGGATGCACTTGGAAATTGAGGGACAGGATGAAAGGCAAGATTAAAATTTAAGATTGATAGAACTGGTCAGAGAATATCTAATTAAATGAGTTAAAGTCTTTAGGACCAGGTGAAACACATCCCTGGAAATCAGTTAAGTGTTTGACAGGGAACTCATTACCCAGAGAAGTGGCTCCCCTTCACTGACTAGGTTTAATCAGAACCTGGCCCACAATTTGTCTAGAATGCTGTAAGCGGTGTTCCTGAACTGAGCAGACTTGGAATCAGTTGCCTAAATGGACCTCTCCAACTCTGATTTGGGTTCTTACTTATACTTTTCTTCAATATACTGGATATACTATTTTTCTGCTTTTGCCTGTTTGTTGGGTCCTTGCTAGCAACTTTTGTCCCGTCCCCACCACATCTTAGCAAATTAGATATTATACTTGGAAACAGTTCACCATTATTTTATATGGGAAAATTCAGTAAGATCAGAGATGGGACAGTAAAGACCAAGTATGCAGGTGATTGCCAGGGTAGGTTTAACCAGAAAACAAAGTCTCTCTCGGGATTTACATGTGGCGTTTTAAAGAAGTGCACTATGGTTTTTTGCCTTCTTACTGAAGAGATAAACCACAACTCAGTGGCAGAGCATGTATATTCAGCATGCAGAAAAGACCCAAGAATTTTCAAGTCTAGCATCTCAAATGAAAGGGTTTTGAATGGCGGGGTTGGTAAAATAACTGAACTCAGTTCTCTTTGGAGTTACATCTGGATTTTAAGAAAATGACAAGGCTATCAGTTCAGAAAGCTCCTACCATGCACACAGTGCCCATTCACAAGATGGCTGTTGCCATAATGGTAGTTATGGCTGTTGCCATAATGGTAGTCAATCATTAAGTGCTTATTACACAACTGAACAGAGGTGATGAGTGGCGATATTATGTGACTTTTCTCAAGGTAACACACAAATCAATTATTTTTAAGGATTTTTTTTCTCATTCATGACACATCTAGGTGTCCTAGTGAACAACCACTTAAGCACAAGCCAGCAGTGTGCTGCAGCTGCCAAAAAATGTCAATGGATTCTAGACTGCATCAATAGAGGCATTGCATCAAGATGAGATAGTATCACTCTGTACTATGCTGGTGAGAAAAGATTTTCTTTTCAAGAAAAGATTGGACATCCATTTACCTGTGATGGAATAAAGTCTGCTGCTCTGGGCAGAGGTTTGGGCTAGAAGACCTCTGACGTCCCAGCCCTATAGTTTCTACAACCAGTTTACTAGAAAAGTAGCCTTTTCTAGACCAAAGGGGATGCTTGAACTGTCCAAACATCTAAATTTGCTTTGGATTAGGTATTTTAGATTTCACAGAAGCAAACTGATTAATCTCAAGATTTAACAACCTTATAGTGAAACTTGTGGCAAGGCCTGCTAGAAGCATGAAAACATCCTTAAGATTTATATCGACTGTTTCCTAGTATGATTTGAGTGCTTATAATGCTAAGGGTACCTATCACCAGGGGTGGGATACGACAGGGTTAACTACCAGTTCGGGATTTACGAGTTTCCCTGCCCACTGTGAGCCATGCGCCTGTTAATCGTCATTAGCACGCTGCTGCCGAGAAGCAGCCTTTGAAACAGCCCTCTTTTCTTGTTTTTTTAACTCCAGCTATGCCTCATTCGGTAGCTGAAGTTGAAAAATCAGGAAATAAAGATCAGGTAAGAGCCCCAGTGGGCAAAAACATCAGCAGACATAGAACCGGTTCTATGTCTGGTGCTTTTCAGAGCTACTGGTTCTACAGAGGTGGACAGAACCGGTAGAAACCCACCCCTGCCTATCACTATCATTAAGTGTTGTACCTGATGATTCTTGACTCGAGGAATGTATACTGAGAATATTTGCACCAAGATAAATTCCTTGTGTGTCCAATCACACTTGGCCAGTAAAGAATTCTATCTATGAAACCCATGTCACAGAAGGCAAACTAAGTCATGGGGAAATAAATATCTGAACTTGGGAAAATCTCCCATGTCCATATCCTCACAACATAAAATACGCATACTGCCAAAATGAAATAAATATCCCCATCTGTGTCTTGCACACAAAATAGGCTACTTATAGCTAAACAAAATAATTAACTCTTCCTGTCTGGTGGACTGAGCTTACCTGAACTTAGCTCCCACTTACATTACCTGGGATCAGTTGTAAACAAAGCAGTTGGCTACAGCCGATTCATGTTTTGTTTTTGAAGAATGCCTCCAAAGCCCATATTAGCATCAAAGCATTTGGGAAAATATGATGTGTCCCTGGAGACGTGTCTTTGCATTGCAGCTCACCATCTTCCAGTTGTTTTAAAATGGATTTCGTGTTTTGAAATGTGAGAATGGTATGGGATCTTGGGAACACATTTTTTAAATTTAATTCAGACACTATATTGCTCTTGATGTTGGAATGATGTACAAGCAGTCCTTTTCCCAATCGGGAAGTCTTCTTATTCCTACCCTAACACCCAGAACACTATCTCCCAACCATGTACTTTGCAAATGAAACGTTTCCACAAGCACAGCTGTGAGTGGGCTTCCTCTGCATTATCATGAATGAACAGGACAGCCACTGCCTGGCAGACATTGCTTCTCAAAGAATACAAAATCAAACCTTCCAATTCAAGGCCCGAAGAGGGATGATAGTGCTGTAGAATTCTTCTTAGCTGTTATGTACCTCTGCTATTATTTATCTTCCAATTTAAATAAACTGGTCTCAAACAAAACAGTTATATATATTCGGTATTTCTCAATAATGGAGACTTTTACTGCTGCTTTTTAAAATTCTATTTGAAATGAATAGTTTTAATGGTCAGTAGTATGCATCATTCAATTTGATTTGCTCATCCGGTAGCATGGATTACAATAGCAGCTACTCTAAGCCAATCAATTTTATTTTCCTCATTGATTTCTGCCCCAATATATGCCACTCAACCATCACTATAGGAGAAGCATGTGGTTCTTCAGTGTCAATAAACCATGGTTCTCAGCAGCAGAGCCAATGGTGTGCAGCTGGAATTGTATTTCAACACAGGAGGGGGCCTGAGGCTCACCAATGCTATCACAGTAATTGCAGACGACTCTGTACCTCAGTCAACTTATAGGCAGCCCTCCGTTTAGTGGCCAAAGTTATGATGGACCCAAAAAGAGCACACATGATAGGTTTCTAAATGGTTATCCCCCTATCCTGCAGTCCTATGAATGCACTTTGGGTGCTTGGCAACACAGCTGCTTTACACTGATTGCAGCATCTTGCAATCACACGACCACATTTTATGTCAATTTTGCCCTGTTTGCTTTATGGCCGATGCAAAAAAAAAGAGGGGGTTTGCAAAATTGGGTTATTCGTGTAACTGACCTCTTTTAGGACTTTACGATTTAGAATTATAACAGGCAGCCTCGATTATGGTCATAACTCAAGAACTACCTGTAGAGATGAATTGTCCATTGTGACACTGAAGTCACACGTAAACTATTGGCATCTGCAGACATCATGATTTTGTTTCTGTTACAATAGTTGCATAGTAAAAATGTTCAATTAACATAGTTGATTTCACAATCTGGAAAACAAGCCAAGCAACTGTGACAGCTAACCTGCGTGAGACATTATAACTAATTCTCAAAGATGCGTACAAATAAATTTATTTTCAAAACAAAAAGTGAATGGCTGAATTTCTTCAATGACATAAATTAATTTTCCAATTTGCAATCAACACTTTGTATTATTCCCCAAATGACTGCAAAACACATCAGGCAGTCCTGACATGCCCTTGAATTTTACTGGACGAGGAGGGTACAGGTGGCCCACAGCAGCACATCCTTTACATCTCACATCATTTGGCAAGACAGAAAACAGATGACAGATCCTTTAGCTTAAGTATTTTGTGGTAACTCTACAATTTACAAATAGTTCTGCCACTCTCAGAAATTTCTAAAGGTAATTCTGTAAATATATCTTTCTTAACAGTGGATTGAATATACAAAGGCCACAGAACACAATGGATACTGCATCTCCCCCCTCCATGCCACCCCACAAGAGTATCTGCAGATTGTGCCAAAAGGTGGCCACTGATGTCTCGGGAAAATACAACGGTAGTAACAAGGGAATCATCTTGTAAAAGAAAAAAGAATGTTCCCACATGGAAAATCCATTTTCTCCTGGATACTTAGATCTGAAATACAGTTCATTACCCTGTAGTTTTCTGATTGCTTGTGTCCTTGCAACTATCTCATTGTAAAAAAATAGCAGAGGTGGGGAAGAAAGCCCTGTCTCTGAACTCTGTAAATAACTTAGATTGACTTGATATGGTAATGGCAAGCAGCATGTGAAAGATTGTTGAGCAATCAGAAACAATGGCAGAGCTGAAGAGTCAGAGGTCTGGAGAAGAAGGGTAAGAATAGTATGGTCCATTTTCCTGCAGAAAGAGGGGAAAGTATTAACATCAATAACATATGTATATAAAGAAATCACATTCAGGTCTTGTTAAATGAAGAGCTGTGGAACTTCTATGTGCTTAATTTCATAGATAACACTCTGGGCTAAGTCCCCGCCATTTATTGTAGGGGGGAAGAACCCCTGTCATCTGAATTGCATCCTAAACAATAGATTGGAGAACTATAAAAGTTTAGATATTATGGGCCAGACTAGATTGCATTGCTTTACCCAGCACATGACAAATAGAATACTGTACAAATGACTGTCCATTCTTTTCATCTGCATTCAGGTTTCCTTCTTTTCCAAATTGCAGGGAGTCTCCAATTTTTTTTTTTTAGGTATTATCCTGTCTAGTCACAGGAGAATATATATGAAAAATGGGTCAGGTAGTGGTGTATCCATGCTAAAATCAATAGCTGCAAGTTCTTTCCAAAAAGAAAGAAACGTGCCAGAGCAGAGAAACGAAAAGAAGCCACAACACACTGGGAATGCATCAAGGGAAGGTGGGTCACAGGCAATAATTTCTTTCCCTTTGCTTTCTTTGAAAGGTAAAACTAGTAAAGTGCTTTCACTTGCATCTTTCCACATTGCTACAACAAAAATCATTGTGCTTTTAGAGTAATCTGTATAAAAAACACGTGCCGCAATGTACACTGTAAGATTTCAAAAAACAAAACACCCAATAAATACACTGTAAATGAAGTCCAGGAACTTAATTTAGAAATGAATGCAGGGGACGACGACGACAGACGAAGTAGAAAGGACAGGAGACATAATATCATTTTGGGATAAAGAACAGCTTGTTAAAAACCACTTTATATTAGACAATAGTTATCTACTCCATACTATTGTGTTTTATGCCTTTCTTTCCTCCTTGGCACATTAGCTTTTGTAATGGAGATCATTCAAGATGACAAGAGCTATAGAATTCAACGTTTTCTTGGTTATAATAGCCTCCTATGAAGGCCAGCTTTGTGCTCTAAGTATGAACTGTCATCTATTCTCTAGATAATGCGTTCTTATACCAATACAATGAGTATTTTCAGCAATGTACAAAAGTGTTCTGCAGCATATTCTTTTAAAGGCCCAAGCAATCCAACATGGCTTCAAAACTTAGCTGTTTCTAAAGCAAAACACCAGGCATCCTTGTAAACTAAGAGAAAGAAATGTTTCTTTACCTCCCACTCTGTTTCATGAAATCTAAAGACATGGAAGAGTGCCAAATTAATGCAACTTCACCTACCCGGATGTCATACTCAAGAACAAATGGAGGAAAGTCAATTTGTTCAGGGGGTATTGCTGTGAACAACTGCTGGAGGCTTTCCACATGGTGAACTTTGTCCTTTAGACCTGAGACAGTAAAGGTTGTGAAGAACCACGTTGAAACCTAAAGGGAAAAATACGGAAATTAATGCCGCTTCCACAAATTATGTGACTACAAATGATTCAATCATCTTGAAGTTAGGAGACATGCAACAGAAACTTATTTAAAATAATGCCATAAGTGCACTCTGCAAGTTTTTAAAGCAAAACAGTCAAGTTTTCCTTCCCAAAGCAACTGCTTTTTAAGGTAGACATTACAGAGAACATGTCAAGGAAAAGGAAAGAACAGCATGCTGTAAATGTAAATAAATAGGTATGAATGGGTAATTTGTTTCACAAGAGCCTTTAATTTAGGCTGGTTAGGCTTATATCCCGTGACTCCTCCAAGAGTCTGTGGTAACCAAAGTGGTCCTCCATGCCAGGGTGTGTAACCTCAGTAATATCGTGCAATACTTCATGGCGACCTTATTTATGATTGCATGCAAAAATGTAAATTTTCCACCTGGAGATGACACACTTCACCTTTGAACGAAATGTTGGATGGACAAAATACAACGCCTTCAGATTTCTTTTGTACCTGGTTAAATAACAAAAGAAGTTTCTTAAATCTTAAAACATTTAACTAATCACATGTGTTTATTGATATCACCCAGCCCATTCACAGAAATGGCATACGAGATTGACCTTTTTGGGTATCAGGAAACAAAACTTCTGATTCTGCAAAGAAGTCTTATCTCAGTTTTCACAATAAAGTCCTACACCTGCCCTCATCCTGCTTTGGTCATTAAGTTCATATCCCCCCCACCCATTAGCATATATGTTTGCGCATAAGTTCATCTGCGGATAAGCCGATCCTCAAATTTTTAATCAAAATACCATCAAAACTGCACCACCTGCAGATAAGTCAACCTACATTTTTCATGGTATTTTGGTTAAAAATTAAAGACTCGGCTTATCCGTGGATAGACTTATACATAAAAATATATGAGAAATACGGGTAGTTTAAAATAGTATTAGTATATATACTCTCATATAAGCCCATCTGATTTTGGGGTGCATTTTGGCATCTAAAATTCTCAGCTTACTCATGAGTATGTACAGTACATTCTTTAAAGCAAATTTTCTTGTGCTTTTAAATCACAGTCATCAATACGGAGACAGCTTCAAGACCTTTGAATATAAAACTTACCTCACATCGACAATGTCAGAGAGCTTCTTCAAGAAATCTGAGTCTAAGTGATTGTAGACATTAGTGAGCGTATGGAAATAAACAATAATATATTCCTTCCCTACAATATGGTCCATCACATGGATAAAGTACAGGAGAGCCTGAAAAAAAACAAAACCACATATATGTTATTAGAGACAAAATGTGGCACCCCCTCTTTTTTGTAATTCTACAAAAACAGTACTGGAAAAAATAATTTCCTCAACAGAAAGAAAATAGTACGTTTTGTTCAGCTAAATGGCTTTCTTCTGTCGTCAAGAATAGCAATGATTAAGACACAGTGCATTTAAAACAAAAGGTATTAGACTCTCTTCTCAGCTATGAAACTGATCTGATAGCTTTGCCTAAGCTTCAGCCTAATCCGTCTTGAAGGAATTATTAGAATTTTATCCCTTTTTATATATAACTCAAGATAGCAAATATCCATAATGATTGCATTTCCCCACAACAACAATCCTGCAAGGTGGGCTGGGCCAAGAAGAACAACTGGCCCAAAGCCCCCCAGCCAGTTTTATGTCGAAAGGGGGAGGGGCTAGAAATCACCCTCTCTGGGTTTCTAGCCCGGCACTTTCAGCAATGCTTCAAACTGGATCCCTTTTATGCTGATAAAATAACACTTTATTTCTGCAGACATTTGTGGGAGTTCTCCTTCCTTCTATGCGTGGAAGGGAATTCCTAGGCTGGACTGGAGAAATGAAGTGGGAATTTTCGCAAACCTCTGTTTTTCCAGCCCAGCACAAGAGTTCTTCTCCCCCCTGCATGCTGGGCTGGAGAACCAAAACAGGGATACTGAAGATCCAACCTTAGTTTATGCAGCCCAAAGAAGAGTTTTGTGAATGGAAATGAATGGAAAATTTTTGGTAGCCAGCAGCAGACTGCCAGCTTCCCCTTTGACTCTCTTGGGAAGCCAGCAGAGAAGACTGTAAATGATGATCACATGATCACACTTGGCAACTGGTCGTAAGTATGAACAAGTTGAGGACTAGCTGTAACTGCACTCCTCTTTGCAGATGATTAAAGCACTGTTCATATATAGCATAGAGCATCTATTATATGAAGTACACAAAGTTTATACCAACTGCAATTTGTCCAGGTCACAGATCTATAGTCTTAGCAAAAATCCTCGATGATTTTTGTAATGTGTCATTTGCAAAGTTGAGTTTGAAGATGGTTCAAAGCTTCATTTGGTGAGCAATGAACGGAAACTAAATTGCAGACTAATAATGGGCATTCAGATGAAACTGCCTTGGTTTCCAGTCAGCTTTGGGAATAATTAAAAAAAAGTTTCACCAATAATAGTCTGTGTCGCTATGGTTCAGTAGACCTCAAAGTACATTCAGCTGAGGCAAAACTGCTTCCATTATAGAAGTATCTTCTGAGGCAGTTGTGTAGGCTCTCCAAATCTTGGAATATCTACTGTCAGTTGTGTCCAAAGTGGGTTTTTATTTTCAGTCTCAAATGAAAAGCTTTAAAAATGTCATTTTAAGGATGAAGAACAAATCTGGATGTAGATATGATTTCTTAAAATTCTAAACTAATAACTGTTATCACTACTGAAATATTTCTCAGGATCTTACCTTCTCCATGTCTATAAGGGTTACAGGAATATTCCTTCCAACAACAGCCATCACTGTACGACCACAGTTGTCAACTCCTATGAACAGAATGAACAACAGGACTATGTTTCAGATTCTAGAACTTAAAACACACATACACACATCCCAAGTAAAATCCAGCTTAAAAATAATTGTTTGAAAATAGTTAGCATTGCTGGGGGTTGCACAGGAATCAAAGACTACCTACTATATCACATTATATCCTCTTTCAGGAGAATGGCTAACTTTTCTCTAAACCTAAAAAATATAAGCAGAACAGTATTTTTTAACTATTGAAATTCTTGAACTATCTTATCAGCTACATTACATCAGTTAATATAATGTTCACCAGGAGCTCTGGTGGTGCAGTGGTTAGAATGCAGTATTGCAGGCTAACTCTGACCAGCCTGGAGTTCGATCCTGACTGGCTCAAGGTTGACTCAATATTCCATCCTTCTAAGGTTGGTAAAACGAGGACCCAGATTGTTGTGGGCAATATGCTGACACCGTAAATCATTCAAAGAGTGCTGTAAAGCACTATACTTGTTGCGCCTATAAAGTGGTATATAAGTCTAAGTGCTATTTTCCACTGAATATGTAAATAGTTAAAACAATTACAATTTTCATTACGTAGCTACTGTAACTTTCAAGGAAAATTAACCATAAGTAAACTCTTATAGGCTAAATTTCTCATTGGTAGCATTACTGCTTTTTCTTTGCACACTCATCATCCAGGAGTCACAGGCATTTTGGTTAATTTGACCTTAATCATACCTGTTTGGTACAATGCTTTAAGTGAAGCAATATCTGACAGGTCCTCAGCTCTTGCTCGACAAAGCCAACGGTTGTAACTAGAAGGCAACCACACAGAATCACAAAATAGTTAGTTTTCTAGTAGCACAACTGGCATAAACACCAAACCTGATACTATGTATACTCTGCCAAATATTCTAATGCATTTTGACTTAACCTAAATAGGAAACTAATTATGAAAGAATTTTACTGGAAACAACCAAACCAAGCCATCTTCGGCATGCCAACTTTAAAAGGTCTGTCAAACCCACTAGCAGCTCACTATTGCCCCTTTGAAAGAAGAAAAAAAAAATCTACTACAGCAGAACACTATCTTGTGATCAGAATAAGAACACTGCTCTGAAGCACCCACAACCCCAGAGAGTGAAAACTAATGACCTGTAAATAGGAGAGGGACTTTTGGTAAAAGTGCCTTACTTCCTCTGATGCTGTTTCTGAAGTGCTGCCTCAGACAGTTGTCCTTGAAGGATAAGACGCCTCTGTTTATCAACATCTCCCTCCATTCGAGCAAAAGCATGAGAACCAATAAATGAGAAGTCAGCTTCTAGCTCCTCTTCATCAGAATTATCTGCAGAAGATATTCCGGGATAATGAAGGGTCTGTCCCTGAGAATGTCATAGTACACATTCAATAAAGGAAAACGAGGGGCCACTTGAATGAAAACTAATTGCAGTTAGAAGAGATTCTATGGCAAAACATCAGAGGTTAGTAGCATTTCTTTTTCTGGCACAATCTGAACTGATGAAATTTTACCACTTACAGTTTAAAACATTGCAAGTTTTGAATAGGTCAAGTGGAGAGCAAAAAGCAGTAGTAGTTAGCTAAACACTGGATAGCCCATGAAGGGTAACTTTTTCATTAAGCCTGTCTGAATTTCTCTCTCAGCCTGGTTGTAGTGAGAGATATCCTCCGTTGAATACTGCATTATACATTTAACTGAACTTGCAGAAATAGCAAAACTGACCAGATTGGTCAGAGAAGAAATGAAAATAAAACCTTTTGGAAAGACTGGGGACTTGTATGGACTTTTTTGTTGAAAGAAGAAAATATCAAATCGATGATTTCAGGATTTAAAGATGAAAAAGGGATAAAAATGGCGGGGAGGAAATTAAGATGATAATTATTCAATTTTTTTTGAAAAGGGCAGAAGTGTAGTAACTTTTTTTGTTATCTTTTTGTTTTATTTGTTAAACTCATAGTTTTAAAATCAAACATACATAAACCAACTTTGAAAAATGGGTCAGGATTAAATTAATATGGAAATATAATTTATATTAATAATATCAAGTGTAAAACTCACAGCCTTTTAAGGGTGGTTGCCTGTTTTAAGTCTTCTGCAAGTTACTTTGGCACAAATGCAGACTCACCCTCTGGAGCACCTGGCTTTTTACAAATTCTAATCTGACGCTCTGGCACAACGGGCTCTCCTTCTGCATTTCCTATATCTTCAGGAAGCAAAGGCAGGGACTCTCTCTCCTCTGCCAGTGATCTTGGAAAATACAGAGGCAGCATCTTCCGATAAGTAGGCTATAGAAAAGAGAATTTGAAAACTGTCTCATCTTGCATTTCACTTTTCAGGGCAAGATTGAAATCAGCATGCACGCACACATACACACACACAAAGTGATATAAACTTCCAAGATATCCCAACATGAGTCCCATTTTCAGTTTGAAGCTAGAAAAAAGGTGCTTAGCTCTTTGTGTGCTTCTGAAGATAATCTAACCAACATGTAAAAAGCTGCAACAGTGACCTAAACTTAGTACTGTATTGGCATTCCTTCCTTCAACATTCATTTTATGTGGATGTATTTTTTTAACTGAGGAAGCATTCTTAAGCCAGTACATTCAGAAACATGGATTACTTATCTAAAAGCCTTTTCATTCTATTTTCACCACATCTTATCATAATGAGAAACAGGCAGCTTTAATATGTTTGGATGCAGAGAAAGCCTTTGGCAACTTAAATTGAGGCTTTATAAGTAAAGTACTGGAAGACAGGGATTTTGAGCAAAGAAATATTGGAGTAGGATTCACAATTTGGTACAGAAGATTCTTAAAATGGACATAAAGATATAACCAGAGACTTTTAAGCTTATTGGACAAAGAACTTAAGAAATTTTTGGAACTTTGGTTGTTATACATATTGACGGCAGCAATATTACTTTAGGCACAAGCATGGAAGGAAACTTTGATTCCCAAAATGGATGATGGCTGCAGAAGTTGATGGGAGTTAGCAGAGATGGCTAAATTGACTGCTTTGATTAAAGAAAAGAATACAATCAATTTTATTTCTGCTTAGAAACTGCTTTTGGAATTTGTGCTTGAGGTGGAAATGAAACTTTTGAGTTTTGCTGATTAGATAGCTTTTGTATTTTAGAAATGACTAGTATATAAAGTTATGAAATTTAGGGTTTGTGTTATTTCCTTATTCTACTGCTTCAGAAGAAGTTGGAGGTCAATGTTTTCTTTTCTTTTCTCCCCTTTATCCTACACTTTTCTCTCTTCCCCTTTTCACCTTTATTTTCATTTTCTTTATATTTTGTATTTTATGCTTTGATAAACTAATAAAATTTTTGAGCCACAAGCCATTCTATTTTCATCACATCTTGCTTAAGAAGAATCTCTAAACATTAAATATATTATTTGATATTAAACTCTTGTGCAGTTTTGCAGTAAGGTTTGCTCACATTTTTTCATGCTTTCTTCAAGCATAAATTATTCTCCATTTACCACTCACTCAATAGTCACTTAAGAGAAGCAGCCCCCAACCTTTCGGGCACCAGGGACCATTTCTGTGTAGATAAGTTTTTCCGTGGGCCAAAGTGGGCATGGTTTCACATGCATCCTGCATCCCATGGATGGGGCTTCGCTTGTCTGCATGGCCCAGTTGCTGGTATGCCACAAACCAGTGTTGGCCATGGACCATAGTTTGAGAACATATGGAATTCAGGGTTTAAGAAATGTGGATCTGTATCCCCTGTCTCTACAGTGGTACCTTGGAACTCGTTAATTCCGAAAGGCGCAACAAGTATTAAAAATGATGAGTACCAAACAAATCATGTGACTAATATGTGACCCTTTGTATTGGCTGGAAAGGGTAGCGAGTCACAAGGCAGCCGACACTGATATGTCTTAACCTGCATGTCAAATAATAAACAAATGATGAGTACTGGGACAAAATTTTCATGTCAAAATGTGTCAAGTACCAATCTGCCAAATTTCAAAGCAATCGAGTACTGAGGTTAAATTGTACACTAATATTTTCTCTATTATGCCATATTTCATACAAGAAATCAGCATCACTTGAATCAACATCACTAATCAACATGATTAGTTACATTTTCAACGTATTTTAGATATAAAACATAAATCTACTTCACTTTACTTAAGATCAACAAATGAAAGTGCTCACTAATTTTTTTATCTATAATTCAAAATATATCCACTTTTGAATCAGAATGCATGGAGTCTGAAGCAAAAACCAGGTGTCTATGAATTAATGAAAATGAGAGTTCCTTAGATTAAGTTTATTATACATTTCAAAAGAAAGCTATAAGAAAAAACAAGTATCATAACTGCACAGCTAATGCTTGGAAACAAGTTATTTTACATACCTCCTCAAGATCAGAAACAGCAAACACTACTTTTTCAAGGGTTTCTCCATGAATCTCTAAAAATCGTCGGACTGTACCTATGGGTAGAGGAAAAGTCAAGAAAAACAAGTCAGAAAAATGAGAGGGAGCCAAAATTTAACCCTTATCATATAGAAGGAATAATAATTAAATGTCACGCTCATAACAAATGAAATAATGTGTAATAGCAAAAATACCTAAAGTACTTGCAGGAATCATTGTCTAGCTTTTCCATATACTCTTCCTAGTACCACAGGGTAAAAGCAAATCCCTTCTTGCTGTATGGAGTTGCTGGTTCTCTAATAATCCCTCAGATGTTGATGATAACACTGTGCAGGACCAACATCCCCAATGATGGAATGTAGTGGCAGGAAAGCGACCCATTCCAAAGAACTAAGGTACAACTCAGTTCAGATAGCATGACAAAAAGAGGTGAAGACAACCCCGCCCTAATAGTTCCCAAAGTACATGCTTCATGTAAATAGTAGTCTGCTTCAGTTTAGTAAGATTCTGCCTATAGATGTAAAAAAATAAAGACATCTGCTTTGAAGAATCACTACATGTTCTTATTGGTTTTTGGTGTCTCATGTGTACCCATTATCTTTTTGCACTCGGGGCTGATTTTTGAGGAGTAAAATTGACATTTAGAGTCTGAGTTACAGATTTTACTGTATTTATATTCTACCTTTCCTCCAAAAGCTGAAATCAACATAGAGTTGCCTTTCTTGCCTAAAATGATTCATAGAGAAACATAAGATGGGCTGAGAAAGATAGGGTGACCAAAGTCATTAAGAGCACTCAATGACTGAATGCTAGGGCCCCTTCCCCTCTCCTCCACATTTAAGACCTTAACTACTATACTATATTGGCTGTCTCACCTCATATCCATTTCCCATTTACTTAGCCCTTTAATTCCTCTTAATAAAACAGCATCCATTTCTTCCGGTTTGAGCTTCTTCGGCGACAGACCGAAACTTTGTCTCTCCGAGGCTTTGATCCATGCTCTCCGCTGGAGCGCCACAAGCCGGCTGGTTTTGGGGCTAAGCCACCCTGTAGAGGTGGTGAAGAGGGGGGAGACTGCCTGCAGGGTTGAGGAGAGCCACATCTCCCTCCCCAGCTGGCCATTACTCCCTTTCCTGAAGGCGGTTGTAGCGGTGATCAGAAATGGCCAACACAAAGAAGAACTCGACCAGAAAAGAATGTGCAGGAGGAAGATAAGAGAAAATTTTGGTTGACCAGGTCAAACAGCAAAAGCAACAAATAAGGTACCTTGGAATTTAAACTTAACAACATTGTTCCCAAAGAAGATTTTGAAGCTGCGAAGGAGAGAGAGAAGGGAAAGGATTAGGTTTTTTTTCTTCCTTTCCTTATACTGATTGCTAAGCGACTTAAGCAAGAAATTGAAAAAAAATCCACTTTGACATTAATAGGCATCTAAGTTGAAAATAAAAGTCAAAGGAATAATAAAGATTTCTGGACATTTAAAAGTTTTTAAAAGCAGGAAAGGAGGAAAAAAAAGAATAAAAGGGCAGGATCTGGAAAAATGGAGGCGACTGCCTGGAATTAAGGAATGGAACTGTAATTAAAAGGAACTTACAGTGAAATTTTAACAAGATTCCTCAAAGATATATTTTAATTGAAACTTGGTAACAAAATAATAGAACCCCAGGAAGAGAAAGTGGAAAAAAGAAGTAAGTAGAAACAGCCTTGGATTATTTGGTGATTTTTGGTTTTTGCATCTAGATGACTAAAATTAACCAGGTGGTTGTTTAAAAGTTTTTAAAATGGTATCACTCTTAGAAGAACTGAAAATGGAACTTAAAAAATGGAAAGAAGATGCACAAGAAGGGAGAAGTTTCAATTCTTAGAAATGGAGATCTGGAACTATGAGAAGCAACAAGAAACGCTTGCAGAACTAGAAGATCGGGACAAAGAAGAAGCCATCTTTAATGATCAAATAATTTGAAGTGGGGGGAAAAAAAAGAAAAGGGGGAAAAGAGAGTGAAAGGTTTAAGACTAGAAAAAACAACCAAAAAGAACTATTTGAAAGATAAGTATAATATTAGAAAGCAACAGAAGAGGGGATTACAGATGAGAGAGTTAGAAGTAGAGAGACAAGGGGGTAAAAAGGGGAGGGAGAAGAAGAGGGGGAAGAAGGCAAGGAAAAGAAGTTGTAAAAGACAGAAACAAGAAATGGAGAAACAGGGAAAAGATATAAGGATTGTAACCGTAAGCTTCTTTAGAGATAATGGGTGAAAATTTAATTGCAAAAGGGATTCTGCAAAGGTACATAAGATAGCGTTGTTATATTACAAATAGAAATAATTTTAGAAAATATGATGATGGATAAAATATTTACTGTAATGTAGTGGGATGTTTGTTAATAAATAACTATGGAAAGTTTATAAGTGTTCCCAAGGAAGTATGATATTTAATTGAAAAGAAATGTTAAAGATGTTAAGATTTTAATGAATATTAATGATAGAATTAAATTGGAATGGAATGTGTATTTTATTTACATATATATATAATTTTTTTTAAAGAATATAGTCTCTATTTTAAGAATGTACCAAGCAGAACTCGATTTGAAGTTATGTATTATATTGAATGCTATAATCTTAAAGGTATACACTGAAGCTTAGATAAGAGTTTGAATGGATAAAATGTGAGTTCCCAGTTTGAGACACCCATCAACCCAATTCTCCTCACAGGGTTATTCTTGTGGGAAAAATAGTACGAAGAAGGAATATTGGATATGTTTGCCACCTTGAGTTGTTTATTTAAAAAATGATAAAGGTGGGATATAAACAAGTAATTGTGCAGGAGGGTCAATGATGAATAGCATCACAACAAGATTACCCCTTTTATACACATGTTGCAATATCATCACATGTATAAATGTAAAGGGCAGAGCTTGTTCTGCAACACTTGTTTGAGCATTCTGATAAAAACATCTGGATTCTGCAGATGCTTCTGTCCATTAACTTTTCTATTTGTTGTGTAGTTCTACTACCTACAGATCTCTTGTGTGGTTTTTGTTTTAATTAAAAAGAATTAACATGAGAGTAAGATTACAATTCCTGAAATGCTGCCTTTTATCCATCGATAAAATAATAGAGGTGTGGGTAAACTCTGAGGCACAGGTTAGCATTCCTTTCATGGATTCCACAGTGGATGCTGTTGTGTGTGTGTGTGTGTGTGTGTGTGTGTGAAAATTTTATTCGGGTTTTCACAAAAACAAAATACAAATAAAACATCTTTTTTGAAAATAGCATGGTCCCAGGTTATCACTTCTTCTTACAGACACAAAACTCAATTTCATGCTCATTTTTATATTCTGTTCCATATCTTATTACCATTTTATATTTTCTACATAGTTTTTCCCCTCTTTTAATTTTCTCAACTTTGTTTTGATTATCTCATCTCAATTCAAATCATTATATTTATACTTTTGTCTGTCCTGTTTCAATTTCACATTATCTTTTCTTATTAAGCAAATTTTCCCCTGTAGTTACCAATTGGAGTATGACACCTTTATATCCTTTAAATCTCTCAATTTCTATCCTGGTACCTGAACCACTGGACCGACCAGTGGTGGGATTCTTTTTTTTTTTACTACTGATTCGGTGGGTGTGGCAGGAGAAGGATACTGTAAAATCTCCAGTCAGAGGTGGTACTTGCCGGTTCTCCGAACTACTCAAAATTTCCGCTACCACTTCTCCAGAACTGGTCAGAACCTGCTGAATACCACCTCTGCACTGGACCAAACTGTAGAATGATTTTCCCATCATCAGAAGTTTTTAGAAAGGTGGATAAGACTTAGTTCTGTATTGTTCAATGCATTTTTTATTAGTTGATTATCATTTTCCTTTCTTTCCTTCTTGAATGCTGTCTAGAGACACATGATCTATGTATTTGTATTTACAAACACTTTATTTTTAACTTAATTTTGTAATATAAATGACCCATCTGAGCGCCAAATTCTACAATAAGAATACAATTGCATTATTATATATTTTGCACTATTTGCATTTTATAAAATACAATAAATAACAATGTCTAGCCATGCTGGCTAGGGCAAAACTTTTGAAGGTTGATGCCAGTCAATCTGATCTAACTTAAATACAGTATGTAGGTCCAAATATTAATACAGAAGCTTGTGCGTTCCTTGAAATGAAATAGAGAAGATTCAACAACCATGCAATTACTTGTACTAATTGATATTTTTTATATCTTTATGACTCAAATACAATGCATAAATTTCTACAGAATTTTTGGTGTATACTTTTAAAGCAGACCTGGTATCTCATAACCTACACATTCACTTTGCCCATCATTTTGTGGAGAAATGGGAAACAAGGGAAGGAGCAAAAATCAATGCAAGGTAAAAATGTGTGAATTTTTAAAGAGGTAGAAAGATGCACAATAGGTCTCAACATAATCTGATTCTTTACGTCCCTTAATACCCCATAGTGTGGTGATTATATATGGAATGGAATACCTCATGAAATAACTCAAAATAAGTAAAAATTCAACCTCATTTACTCCAGTGATATAATTCAATCGCTTGCACTTTTGACCAGACCCCTGGAAAAATAAACATCAAAATTTGCCTCTTCTGGCCATAAAAGATTGCTCACCTACTGTTGATCCACCATTCTATAACACTTACTCATTGGTATTATCACATATTCTTTCCTTGCCTCCATTATTTTTTTCTCCTTCTGCAGTCTAATTTTGTTCTACAAATAGATTGTACGGTGCTTCAAGGCAGATAGATCTGATGTTTGAAGTACCGGTTATATAAAACAGATAGTGTCAATAGCCACCCCTTCAAGGATACTTACGCAATGCTATGTGAGTTGCATCCACTAAAGGATAACCACGTTTCAGAGTGTTTATCGTGCAGAATCCCACTGAAGACATTGCTTGTTCCCTAAAATAACATCAATAAAGAATAATTTCAGCAAGGCCTAATAAAGTCAATTCTACTAAGTTAAAGCATATGCATATTATTTTTCCTGTATGTATTTATTTAGGACAGAACAGCTATAGAACCATTAAGAGTTGGTCCTATAACCGTTAAGGAGAGAAGACTAAATGGGGATTAAGATCACCAATTAAAGTTGGCAGCTTACTCCTAATTTTGGAAGGGAAAGCAGGTCCTTTGGCCTATTTACAGAATTAATAATGGAAAACATTCAAAGATTATTTAAAAATGTGTATTGTGGATAGAGAAAATGGTTGTTCTGAAAAGTGTGGGGAAATTACAAAATAACTAATGCAAGAACTGAAATTACACAAACATCATCTTAGCCCTTAAAGTATAGTGAGCGACAAAGAAATATAAGATGATACCATGTTGATTCTCTTCGATAAAATAAAGAGAAAGTAGCTTTCATGTTTCTGTTTTTATACCTTGCAGCAACAGACTTCTAATCTGTTTCCTGATCTGCACTACCTCAAAAGAGCTGGCAAAAAAAGGGCCATTTGGATTCCTTCCACCTTCATGTGATAGGGAGATAGGGAGACAAAGTATTACTTTACGACGGGAAAATGCACTCACCCACACAAATATGCATTATAACCATCCTTTGTTTAACAGCTCACCACTTTGTGTTATTTGTAAAAAAACAATAAAGGCAGGATATAAATAAATAAATAAATACTAATACAGCAAAAGGTAGAATTTGGATCAAAGACTAAAAATGTGGCAAAACTGAACAGATAAAAAATAAAATTATATGCAAATTCCTCAAATGAGAAAAGTACAAGCAAAAAGCATTAAACATTACAGGATTTTGAAAGAATAAAAGGAAAACAAATGTTCAATTATTCTGAATGGATAAAATGGCAGTAACGTAATTATCTGGACAATTACTAATTTCCTAAACTAAATTCAAATACACTTATAATTAATAAATTTCAATTTAATATGAATTCTGTGAATCTTTCTAATTTAGATTCCCTGGGCAATCTACTCCCATCCCATCCCATAATGTCATCCAGTGATTCAACACTGGCCTAAAGGAGTAAAATACTGTAAACACAAAAGGAATTTGAAAGAAATTGGAGAAAATTATACACTAAGAATATTCAAATAAGCCTAGTTTAGCAGTAGTGAGTCAGTCTAGGTAGGAAAAACAGAATGGTGACTGACTCACTAAACCTATTATTATTATTATTATTATTATTATTATTATTATTATTATTATTATTATTATTCAGTCCTAGATCTAAGATCAGGAATATTACTGAAGCATCTCTTATATTTAAAAAAATGTGGAAAATCTTGTAAATCAGAAAAAGTTTGCATATCATATTCTGAGTAATGAAAAACAGGTTTTACTTATCATGGTAAGCCATAATATGGTTGATTGATTTTGGCTTAGAAAGTTTGAACCAAGCTGTGATTTATAAACCACAATTCATGGCTTAACATAACATACAAGTAACTAAACAACAAAGGGTAAGGGATGTGATCTGGCAGGGGTCAGGGACGTTGACTGGAACTGATATTTATTTCTCATTAGCCCTAAACTAAAACTTAATGGGCTCCAGGTTCCGCATCACTGGGGAGATTTCTGGTGATTTCTCTTTATTTCAGGAAAGGAAGGAAGGGTTAACCAGGTGAAGTACTGAACATTCTAGTGACATGAACAGCTCCTTCCCTTTCCTGTCCTCCACATCACACTTAATACTTTCATTTCATTCCTATCTTTTATTATATTCTGTTGCTTAGAGGAATATGCATACTTTTTGTAGTCTGCTCCTAATATTGGACAACTAGTATTTGGGGTGGATGGGGAGAACAATTAAAATTACAGAAGTACATAAGAAGAGGAAGGTGGTGGCAAGTGTCTATAAAAGCCATTTCACAATCCGCTAGATTGAGAGTTACAGGATGTAAAAGTTGTGGTTTCTGAGCTATTTGCAGGTGTTAGCCCATCTAGGTCACACTATTTTTTTCAAGAAATAATCGTTTAAATTGGCAGCGGGGCCAAAAATACATATTAAAAAGCCAAATTCATGCAACGATCCCAGAAGTATTTTTCCCAAATAAGGAAACCAGGTACATCCTGATCAAGTCAGGAAAAAAAATGGATTGTTGCCATCTTGTGAATTTCAGGAGTGTAGAAGGATTGATAGATCTCACTGAGGAATCACTGTGTGGAAAAATGATATAAGATTAATTTGAATTAATGTGAATCTCTGCATTTGGTGCTTTACATCCCTTTCCTTGAGTCCTCGGGCAACTTCTTTGCATCTTCTTCAGTGTTTTGTTGCTTGCTGTATCTATCACCATTTTGTTAATAGGCAGATCCTTCAGAGCAGCCATTTTTGATATCATCCATAATACTTTTGCAACATTGTAGATAGACTGCCCTTTTTAAAGGCGTATTTCAAAACCTCTGTTTTTACACTGGTTGCAGGCTACATGAACTCCATAGACTGATTACATGCAGTGTATGTTTTTGGGTGTGTAGAGAAGGTACTTGCCTGTCAAAGAAGAGAATGCTTACTTTGCAAATTGAAGGATGTTGCGGTAGCAGCTGTACAGGGAACTCTCTGCTGCTGTTCGGTATCGGCTTTTATATTTGGGTCCCACAGTGTGAATAATGAAGCGGGCAGCAAGATTAAACCCCTTGGTCAACTTTGCTTCCCCTGTCCGACAACCTAATAAGAAACCAGAACAAGACAAGCAATATCAAACCAATGGTTATCCAAGCATTTTATTTTCAATTTAAAACCCTGTATTCTAAATCCTTTATACTCCTAGATGGGCTTGGGCCCAGGAACTTTACATAGGGGTGGGCATTTAATTTTCCCAAGGAAACCTGGCATTTATTACAAGACGAAGGAAAGAGGAAACAGAGTTATTCCTAGCACTGTCTGCCAGGTTACACCAGATGCAGTCAGTAAGCATGGTGTCGTTGTAATAACAAGAGTCTACAAGTTCATCTCACTGACCAAAAATTCCATCAAGTAGTGGGATAGGTCTGAGAGCTTGCTACTGAATTTGGATGGCTATGAAACATAAAGTTTGTGTACTTTTCATGAACTGCACAAGAGTCTCTTTGCCTGAATTAGAAGGAATAATCTCTGACCTTGCAGTGCAATACTCTGGTCTAGACTGTTTATTCCAAGAGACTTAAATGACCACTGTGAGGTCACTTGTTAGTGGTTCAGATTTTCTGTCTATCAGACATCATAGGTCTTTTCCAGTTAAAAATTGCATTTCTTGCTTCGGCATCCATTCTTTTCTTTAAAACTTGAAACATTTCCCCGGAATCAAGTTTCTATTCTAAAAAATGAAGAAAACTAAACACCTCTTCCAATACTTCCATTCCCATTTCTTTCACATATTACCTAGGTGATAATGAATTTCTTGCATAAAGATGGCCATTTAGTTTTTAAAAATGCAATTGTGGCTAAGTAATTTGTGATAAATGTTGTGGCTCTTGGCACCCCTGACCTCTGCAGCCACTTATCCTGAAGTACTGAACAAGGGCGGGGAGGGGGTTAGAATCACTGAAGCAAAGCTCATTTTATGAAAATTGAAATATTATTATTCTGACCTTTAAGTTTCTGTAGTTCAACTTTTAAATCAGGTCCTGCATGCATGGAGATACTTTCAGAGACCGGATTCTTATCCGTGAGGGATTCATTGCTGGTGTTTACTATAGCTGTGCAGTTCAGCAATGCTACGTCGCCTCTCCTTTGAAAAGATTACAATTCATTACCAACGTAGAAGAAATAAAAGTCGAATCAGAAAGGAATCTAGTTATTAGTTTCCCATAGCAGAACTGATTAACCAGGTAGACAGCAATGGAACACAGCCAAGAACTGCACATTTTAACTTCTGACTATTCTTAGAAAATATCATCAGTTTTAATTCCTTTCTCCTTTTAGTCTTTTTATAGAACAATATCCCACCTTTTATAAATAGAAAAATAGCCATCATATCCAAAACATGTACTTTTGTTGCCCTAAAATGGATTAAGACAATGGAGGTCCTCAAAAGAGAATGTACTTTTAAAATGAAAACTGAATTGAAAGAGGCCAATCAATATGTTCACGTTTATAAATGAGAAAGGGTTAAGATGATACACAGAGCATAACCCCCGGAATTCTTTCCAACACCCTTACCTGCAGAGGTTATAAAAATCTCTGTTTTCTTTTGGAAAACAAAGCACCTGTTTGTGTATGCCTCTGCTTTTCTGACATTTTGCATCTGCATTTGGATGCTGAGCAAAGCTGTAGTTACATAATCACCATTTCAGCTTCCAACAAACAAAATCAATGGGAAAGAGTTCAGGAGATTGCAAATTATTGGTTATACTTTAAATGGTCAATGACCTAAATAAAATTCTGTCTCTAAATGGTGACCGCAGGATGCGATGACCCTGTGTGTTCACCTAATGAAGGCAACTGGAATTGCTGGACCTGCCACTGGATTTTGGCATAGTCATGTGATGTCATGCCTTATGACTGCATCACTTAGCAACAGAGTTCCCATTCCCAATATCCATTGGTAAGAAAGTCTGTTTCATGCAGAGTCACATGATCAGGAGGGAGAAGAGTGAGAAGCCAATAGCCTTCCAAGTGACTGCCCAAATGCCTCTTCCAAATTTTTTTTTCTCCACAGTGCCTGCTTGGTCCACCCATTTTCAAATTTCATTTTTCTTTTGCCAGATTCTCCTATCATACCAAATTTGTTCCCATTCTGGACTATTTTTGGAATCTTGGAAAGCAGCAAGCATTATGATAGCAGCCTATCAATAAATCCCAAATGTCTCTTTCATTCTGTTTTAAATACATAAAATACGTCACCAAACTGTCCTCAGTGTAATGAATCACAACTCCTTTCAACCCTTCCAATTTGTTTCGTGGTAAGGAATGATAAAAAGGAACCCAGGCTATTCTGGAGGAATCCTTTACATGAGGAATTTTATATAATTCTTTTATAAATTTCACATAAAATTGTGAGGATTTCTTCTCACATAGTCAGTATAATAAGTAAACATAACCAAAACATTTTCTTTTTAAAATACTGAAGTTCTTAGATTTTTTTTTTGTGAGCTTGTAAATGTAACTAATTCTTGCTAGTGTAATGAATCTGACAGAAATCTAAATGTTTGATTAATGGTTACTTAAGATAATGAGATGCAAACTTACCATAATATTATCTTTGCATTGATGTCTTCCCTATATGGAAAGGGTGATCGAACATCAACTTTTCCCCCTTTGACTGGTAAATGAGAGCTGTTTGATTGGTCCTCATTGTGGTAATTAGACCATCCTGGCAAAGTATTGATATCCACAAAATGGGAAGGAGCTCCCAAAGGATCCATGGAATCACTTATTTCAGTTCACTTCATAAGCACTTCACTGCTTATTGAAATATTGCTGTTCTTTCACATTAAAATATACAACAAAATAAAAATTCAGTGTGTTTAATGCACTCTTATTATTCATCTTTAAATCAGTAACTCCATTCATTTTAAATAATGATTTAGTACAACATACCTAAAATAAAGTCATACAACTGTTGAGTTTTGTGCACCTGGAATATCAGTTTGTGATTTCCATTGCCTAGTTTTAAGAAAGCCAACGTCAAATTTCTCTATAACTGTTTTAGTTGAAATAAAACAAAATGTCGATTAAAAACAACTCTAAGCCCTGCTTATGTCAAAAGGGGGGAAGACACACAAAAACTTCATTTTTTTCTCCATACTATATGACAGGAAGTTGAAGTCTTAGACATGTGAGTATAAGGTCTTGCCCAGCTTTTGTATACCATACAAGAGACCATTGTTTCATTAAATGGGCAGAAGTCTGCCTTCAGAGCTCTCTGGAATTTTTTAAAATTGCTGGAACTCTATCAGGAGAATTAATGAAAAATATTAACTCAGGTAAAGGGTAAGGGTCATACAGTAAGAATTAATGAAGAAAGAGGCTATGAGCACACATTTAGCTCAAATATTAAAGTAAAGATCACCAAATATTTCAAAAAAAAAAATCCTGGTCTTTTTGGTTCTACCCCAACAGAAATGCAGATCAGAGGTATGCATTGTCGTGATTTTCATTGGAGATCTGCCTGAAATAATTAAAGATGTGATATTTTTTTGAACTCTTATAGTGGAAATACTGAATGCTATATGGTCAAAATTAGTTGCTATACATTTGATCTTTTATATTTCTAAGCAAATCACAGAGCAATTTGCATTAATATGAACAGCAACTAAAAATCTGGTGATTTTAAGTGCCACAACAGAGGCACTAAAACTTCTTCAGATCTGTAACTGTTGTGATTAATTTTGTGCAGGTGGAAGCAATATACCATATCATTTGTGGCTTCAGGTGGATCACATGATAAAAATACAGGTGGCTGCACCAAGTCTTATACTGCTAATATGGCTCATTTCATAAAGCTGTATATGATCCATGTTTTGACAGTGGATTCAATAGTATTGCGTATGAAAATCCATAGATATCTATACCCCAAATCCCATGTTTGGGCAACAGGACAAAGTACATTTGTTGGAGCCATGAGAGTTATGGTTCAACATCCACACAGATTGGAATGACCTTCAAATTCTCCACAAAATGAGGATTTTTAAAAACATTTAATGGGTTCAATTTTTACCCAGAATCCATCTTAAATAATCTAGAAACATATTACATATATATGTGTGTATGTGTGTGTGTGTATAGCACACAAACACTCACATATATAAACTATAGCAACACTATAATTATATTACATTTATATAATTAGAATTAGAAGAACTTTGTCATTGTACAAGTACAAGGAAACTGTGGATGCACCCCAGCAACTGTTCACAATACAAAAAAACCAAAGCACTTAAAAATGAAGATAAGATAGAGTACCCACCTCTCCATTTGCAATTTGAGAGTACAATATCTACAAATATATTCATAAGCGTATCAATATTTATACTTATTCAAATTATTTAGCCGCCCAACTCCAACCGAATACCGCCAGAAGAAGTCGTCCCAGATAAGTTTAGCTGAAATTTGACATTTATCCGGACAGCATTCAGGGTTCCAGCCTTTTAACTAACAGCAAAACTCATGCACCCCCCAAAAATGAGTGCATAGAAAACAACCCCCCCCGCCGCCCCCCGGACTGCAGAGGAACCACCTAGAAGCAACTAAAGTAGCCCGGTGAGCGCGCCTAGCCCCCTCTTCTTCCCCAGGAGTTTCAGTTCCTCTCTTCTCTTGAGGCGAGAATAATTCTCTTCCATCGCCAGCGAACGACTGTCAAGAATCACGCGCCCTTCCCTCCCCGTCCCCCTCTCCGCCACTTCCACATTGGCCGGCGAGAGGCCGCGAGCCAAAGGCGAACCCGGGGAACAGGAAGGCACGCGCCGCCCGGGCTCCGCGCGCCAAAGGCAAGGCGGCCGAGCCTCCCAGCCCCCTCGGGGACGTGGACGACACCTACCTCGGCGCGGTGCCTCGCGGCACTCACGGATGCATGGCTGCTACCACCCCCGGCGCCCAGGGCTTGTCCTCTGCCAGGGGCTGCGCGGAACCATACCGTACCCGAGCGGAATCGCGGAAGGCGACGACCACCGACTCCCCGCGTCCGGCTCGCAGGTCCCTCTTCCGGTGAACGCCCCAACCCGCCAAGCGCCGCCTTCTTGCTTTCCGCCCCGTCGTATCCAAGTCCCCAAACCCGGGTTGCGCCGCAGATGCGAGAAAAGAGCGAGAACGGGAGGGGCTGCTGCCATCGGTGGAGCCAATCGCCACCCGGCCTGGGCAGATCCCGCCCTCAAGACGCCAGAACAGCCAGCTATGCTTTGTGCCACATGGGCGGCGGGTTAACTTCTTGGCCGAGAAACACGTGCCTTTGCTACCTGCGCACCTTGTGGGTTGCGAGGGGGTTGTCAAGGCGGGGGGGGTGGGGTGTAGCAATTGCCGAGACATCCCTGGTCCCTATAGTAAACTGGGAAGAAGACTAGAAGTTGGAGCGTCTGTAAAGTTAAACCAGAGGTCTCCAAACTTGGCAACTTTAAGACTTGTGGACTTCAACGCCCAGAATTCTCCAGCCAGCTATGCTGGGAGTTGAAGTCCACAAGTCTTAAAGTTGCCAAGTTTGGGGACCCCTGAATTAGACGGCAGAGATCGCTTTGAAGACTTGGCTATTGCAAAAGTGTCCCATTCATTGCAGATAACAGTGCCTATAGGATCAGGATTTCTCAGACAAGACAACTTTAGGAAGGGTGGGCTTCAACTCCCAGAATTCCCTTGCATGCATTCTGGCTGGGGAATTCTAGGAGTTGAAGCCCACCCTTCCTAAAATTAGCAAAGAGAAATACCGATATGGGTCGTATAAACTGCTGTTTAATTTTTGGCTTTATTGTTTATTTATTTTATTTATTTTTGTCAATTGCTTACAAGGTAATGGGTATAAGTAAAAACATAGTTATGAATACATGGATACATATAAGAAAAATAAAAAAAACAGGACAGGGATGGTAGGCACGCTGGTGCACGCCCCCTACAGACCTCTAAGGAAAGGGGTGAGGTCAATAGAAAGTCTAAGGTTTAAAGTTTTGGGGGTTTGGGGAAGCAACCACAGAGTCAGGTAGAGTATTCCAGACATTGACCACTCTGTTGCTGAAGTCGTATTTTCTGCAATCAAGTTTGGTGCGGTTAATCTTGAGTTTGTATCTATTGTTTGCTCTTGTGTTGTTATGGCTGAAGCTGAAGTATTCATTGACAGATAGGACATTGCAATGTATGATTTTATATACTATACTTAGATCGAATCGAATATATACACATTGCTCAAAAAAATAAAGGGAACACTTAAACAACACAATGTAACTCCAAGTCAATCACACTTCCATGAAATCAAACTGTCCACTTAGGTAGCAACACTGATTGACAATCAATTTCACATGCTGTTGTGCAAATGGAATAGACAAAGGTGGAAAGCATAGGCAGTTAGCAAGACATCCCCAATAAAGAAGTGGTTCTGCAGGTGGTGACCACGGACCACTTCTCAGTTCCTATGCTTTCTGACTAATGGTTGGTCACTTTTGAATGCTGGCAGTGCTTTCACTCGACTGGTAGCATGAGACGGAGTCTACAACCCACACAAGTGGCTCAGGTAGTGCAGCTCATCCAGGATGGCACATCAATGTGAGCTGTGGTGAGAAGGTTTGTTGTGTCTGTCAGCATAGTGTCCAGAGCATGGAGGCGCTACCAAGAGACAAGCCAGTACATCAGGAGGTGTGGAGGAGGCTGTAGGAGGGCAACAACCCAGCATCAGGACCGCTACCTCCTCCTTTGTGCAAGGAGGGACAGGAGGAGCACTGCCAGAGCCCTGCAAAATGATCTCCAGCGGGCCACAAATGTGCATGTGACTGCTCAAATGGTCAGAAACAGACTTCATGAGGGTGGTATGAGAGCCCGACGTCCACAGGTGGGGGTTGTGCTTACAGCCCAACACCATGCAGGACCTTTGGCATTTGCCAGAGAACACCAAGATTGGCAAACTCGCCACTGGCACCCTGTGCTCTTCACAGATGAAAGCAGGTTCACACTGAGCACATATGACAGACGTGACAGGGTCTGGAGACACCATGGAGAACGTTCTGCCTGCAACATCCTCCAGCATGACCAGTTTGGCAGTGGGTCAGTAATGGTGTGGGGTGGCATTTCTTTAGGGGGCCGCACAGCCCTCCATGTGCTCGCCAGAGGTAGCCTGACTGCCATTAGGTACCGAGATGAGATCCTCAGACCCCTTGTGAGACCATATGCTGGTGTTGTTGGCCCTGGTTTCCTCCTAATGCACGACAATGCTAGACCTCGTGGCTGGAGTGTGTCAACAGTTCCTGTAAGACGAAGGCATTGATGCTATGGACTGGCCCTCCTGTTCCCCAGACCTGAATCCAATTGAGCACATCTGGGACATCATGTCTTGCTCCATCCACCAATGCCAGGTTGCACCACAGACTGTCCAGGAGTTGGGGGATGCTTTAGTCCAGGTGTGGGAGGAGATCCTCAGGAGGCCACCCGCCACCTCATCAGGAGCATGCCCAGGCGTTGTAGGGAGGTCATACAGGCACGTGGAGGCCACACACACACTACTGAGTCTCATTTTGACTTGTTTTAAGGACATTACATCAAAGTTGGATCAGCCTGTAGTGTTTTTTTCCACTTTACTTTTGAGTGTAACTCCAAATCCAGACCTCCATGGGTTGCTAAATTTGATTTCCATTGATAATTTTTGTGTGATTTTCTTGTCAGCACATTCAACTATGTAATGAACAGTTGAAAGGTATCAAAATGCCTTTCTTTCGAGGATTCGATTTTCCCACTGGGAGAGCTCCGGCGCAAGGATACAGACAACTGCTTGAAAGCTGGATCTTTTTATTTTTCAGGAAGGCGGAGAACAGAAGTCTGCGTTCCTGGGCTAGCTAGCTTCTTATGGTAAGCCCCTGGTTTTTTTATACCCTTTTCTCCTTTTGTAAGTTGATTTTGTTTGAGTGTTTGTATTTGTGCCTAATGTTTCAAATCCTGTTTGAGTTTGTCTTTATTTCCACCGGAGGGCAAACTCCGTGGGGTGGTCAGATTGTATTATTGGTTTTCTGTAATCTCTTTTAGCTTTAAGATAGTTTTTCATATTTGTTCTGTGGCAATCTCCTGTCTGTCCCTTTTGTAATTTATATTTTGTGTCTTTTGTAATTTATATTTTGTGTCTTTTGTCTGTTTGTTTTGCTTATTTGGTATGTCCTGTGTTTGTAAGGGTTTTCTAAATTATCTTTTGTTTCCTTTTCCTATTTGTCTAGTTTTCTTAATTACTTAGGCTTTTGTCTATAGGGATTCTTTAATACTTTTTATTTGATTCCTTTACCTATGTAAGTTTGTTTTCTGGCTGACCTGATGTTCCCCTTGGGCTTTTCCTGTTTTTTTGTTACACTACTGTCTTCGTGAAATCCCCTTTCCACAGAACAAAGAATATTTCATTCATTCAGATCTAGGATGTCTTATTTTTGTCTTATTTTTGTGTTCCTTTTATTTTTTTGTGTTCCTTTTATTTTTTTGAGCAGGTACTTAGATGGGACTCTGTCCCAGCACGATCCCAAAGTGCGTTTTGTACGCAACACCCTTGTTTGACGAGACGTTTACACTTGCTGCGCTTAAAATTGGAAGTGAACACAGTTGTTCATACTGCTTTAAGCGAGCTACAAAACTTGAGAAAGCAATCCCGTAATGAGATGAGTCTCTCCAAATTTTCCATAGCTCCATGTTCTGTTTATCCTCGTCCCACCTCTTCCGGTTCCTCTGCCTAAGCATGCTGGGAATGGTAGGTTAGTCTTCCAGCCCCGCTACACGTGCAATAGTTAGTGCGGGGATAGTCCGGCTGTTTGGATGACTGATGTTCGCTGCGGGAACAGACTTAAACGGAGGAAACAGGAGACAAGCTGGGACCTGGTCGCAGTACATTTAATTTTTCTGGCGCGATCGGGAGTCCCTTTCCTCCCGTTGCTTATACAGTGATACCGCTCCTCCTCCTGCACTGCTACACATTTTGTCTTCGGAGTTGACCGGCGGAGAAACTGAGCCGGGCTGCCCAGCCAATCTCAGTGGCTGAGTCGAGCCTGCAATTAGGTCCTTCCTGATAAAAATCCAACAACTGCAGACCCGAAAAGGGTTCTGCAGAAGTGTAGTCTGTAAAATACCAGAAATTGCGGTGTTTCTGTGTTGGGTTTTAGAAGTAGAAGAGTAATAATGGCTGGCTAAAAAGGAAAATATTTTTTTTTAATGCCTAGCATTGCTTCAGAAGTAATGTTCAACTAGTAGCCTCACTTGGACTTTGCAGAAAAAAAAAAAATCTGAAGCCTCCCCATGGGCCTCACCAAGCAATATTTGCGGTACGCGGACGCCGCTCTCTTTGGAGTAATTGCCAGCCAGAAAGGCAACATTGCCTATGTGACCCTGCGTGGTGAGAAAGGTCGCTACGTTGCAGTGCCAGCTTGTGAACATGTTTTTCTCTGGGATACAAGGAAAGGAGAAAAGGTAAGCACAAAGCCATGCTCCTTATGTAGCATTATAGTGCGATTTCCTCTTTGATGTTTTTTTTTTGTTTAAATTTTAAAAGATTAAACGAAGGTGCTTGGGTGTTAATGAAGATTAATTTAAAATTACTGCCATGATCATATTGATGTTTGAGGGAGTCACAGAAAAACATTGTAGGTAGCCCTTTTTAAAATAATTACTTAATTTGGGAACTGTGATAGTGATGAAGAAATAACCATCCTCACATTTACAACATTCATAGAACACCCCCCCCCAAAAAGCTGAAATAAGGTATAGGTATATTATAGATACAGTCATAGTTTCACTTAAGGACTGCTTCACTTAACCAAGTAGTCAGTCCCAATTGTGATTGCTAAATGAGGACTATAATGTTTATTATTATTTTGTTGTTTTGTTGTTGTTTATACACACACACACACACACACCCCTCCTGTTTTCCTTGCAGCAACAACCCCATGAGGCAAGTTGGCTAAAAGAGAGTGATTGGCCCAAAATTACCCAGGTGGCTTTTGTGCTTAAGGGAGGCCTCACAATCTTTTTTCTAAGCC